TCTGACCAGTCAAAAATGCCCTCAAGAATTATAACAAAATGGAAAATCACTCAAGCAAACTGGGATCTTTTCAGAACCACTGTTAAGGGAAAAACCGATGAATTACTTTTTAACAATGATATAGATACAGATGTAAAACTATTAAATAACTGTTTAACCGAATCTGCTGAGGAATATATTGGTAAATGCGCGATTGATCCTTCCAAGAAACCTGTTCCGTGGTGGAATGAGTCGTGCAAAATAGCTGTCAAACAATGCAAAAAAGCATTAAATAAATTCCGGAAGACCCGTACCACCACGGATTTAATAAATTTTAAAAAACTTAGGGCCAATTCTAGGCGTATTTTAAAAGAAAGTAAGAAAGCCTCATGGAATCAATACGTTAGTTCAATCACAAAAGATACTTCTCCCGCGCAAATGTGGTCAAAGATAAGACGTATGAAAGGTCATAATACTTCCAGCAAAATAGCCGCCATCTCCCTGCAGGATCATACAGTTACCGATGATCAACATATTGCAGATATCTTTGCCTCTCACTTTTCAGATAAGTCAAATATTCCGAATCTTTCCAATAACTCAGATACCAACATTTCCAGCCCCAAAATATTTTCTAACACCAGCTCTATGAATCTTCCTTTTAATCTCCTAGAATTAAACGAAGCCATATCTTCATTAAAAAACTCAGCAGCCGGTCCTGACGATATCCCATCAATATTTTTAAACAATCTCCATCCAGACACACATCTCAAACTGCTAGAGTTGTATAATAAGATCTGGTCTCAAAACCAGTTCCCAACGTTATGGCGACAAGCAACTACAATTTCTATTAAAAAGAATGACTCATCTCCAAATCTTCTTAAATCATATAGACCAATTTCTCTCACTTGTTCACTATGTAAACTGTTAGAAAAGATGTTCAATAAACGCTTACTATGGTATCTAGAAAGAAATAATATTCTTGACCCATTCCAAACAGGTTTCAGATCAAATAGAAGTACAATGGATAACCTGGTCACATTACATACTGACATTGTTAATGCATTTTCGAATAGAAGCGAAGTCATAGCAGTAACTTTAGATATCCAAAGTGCCTTCGACACTGTACAAAGACCTCTAATTCTAAGAAAATTAACGGAATATAATTTAACTGGTAACATTTATTTATTTTTAAAAAATTTTTTAACAAGTCGATATTTTAGAGTATTAACAAACGGAAAAATATCAAAACCACACGCTTTGGACAACGGTTTGCCTCAGGGCTCAGTCTTAATCACTACCTTATTTTTACTTAGCATGAATGACTTTTCCTCATATATAGAACCACCAGTCAGGTACTCGATATATGCTGATGATATTATATTATACTGCCGCGGCAGAGTCACAGCTACCACAAGCACTTTGCTACAAAACACAATAAACAAAATAGACACCTGGTCTACGCGTGCTGGATTTGTGTTTTCAGCTCCTAAATCCAAAGTAATTCACTTTACCAAAAAGCATAGACCTAATCAACCTTCTATAACTCTAAACGGACTTCGTTTACAAACAGTTAATTATTTGACACTTCTTGGTATCACCTTTGATAAAAAGCTTATCTGGAGACAGCATATTCAGAAACTTAAAGGAAACTGTACCCAAAGAATCAATTTACTTAAATCTCTTGCTAGCTTCTCTTGGGGAGCTGACGAAGAATCTCTTCTTAAAATATATAGAGCGTTAATTCGCTCTAAGCTAGATTATGGCAGTATTCTTTATATGACATCTAGTAGCTCCCTACTAAAGTCTCTAAACACGATTCAAAATACATCCCTACGACTATGCCTCGGTGTTTTCAAATCAAGCCCCGCTGAAAGTCTGTGCGTTGAATCTTCAGAGCCACCACTCCATCTAAGAAGGCAGCAGCTTCTACTTTCATACTTTGTAAGAATATCAGCAAACCCAAGTAACCCGGTAATAAATCTAATCAATCCCATAGAACCTCCCCCAGTAAACGCTTCCAATCAGTCTCTCACATTACCACAAATATTATCTCCTTTATTAGATTCCATCAACCTCTCCAATACTACTTCTATTTATACCCCCAAGACAGCTCCATGGATGCACAATCTTCCAATATTCAATACAGATTTATGCAGATTCGACAAAACAGAAACCCCAAACTTAATCCTTAGAAAATCCTTCCAAAACATCCTTAACTTAACACAATTTGATGAAATTTTATACACCGATGCGTCCAAGAATGAAGACTGTTGTGGCTCCGCTGTGTCCACACTGACGACGACAATAAGCTCTGTGCGATTGCCTAAAAGTTGTAGTATCTATACCGCAGAATTATATGGAATACTCCAAGCATTAAAGACTTCAGTCCGTCCTACTTCAAATGAAAGCATAAAAATCGCCATTTGCACTGATTCTCTTTCCTCGATTTATTCAATAAGATGCATTTTCTCGAAAAACCCACTTGTCCAGGAAATCCACACTATCTGTAACCAACTATATTCTGCTAACATAAAAGTCATAATGATCTGGACTCCATCTCATGTTGGTATATTGGGAAACGAAAAAGCAGACCAAGCCGCTAAAGCAGCATGTTCTTCTGACATAGCCTTCCAAGAGGTCCAAATCCATAAGGATCTTAAAATATTGATAAAACAAAAAATCCTCAGCTTATGAGCGGACCTGTGGAGTAAAACAAAAACTAAGCTTCATGAAGTTCAGCCCAACTTATCTCGCGTCAATATCTCCTCTATGAACAGAAAAGAAAAATCAGTTATTCACCGACTACGAATAGGGCATACACGCCTCACTCATGGATACCTTATGGCATCAGAAAACCCTCCAGTATGCCACTACTGTAATAACGTCCTTTCCATCAAACACGTGATAGTGGGCTGCTGCCAGTATGACTCTTCCAGAAACAAGCACAGCCTAAAAGGAAATCTAAAAGACATTCTCAGTGTTCCAAACCGTTTTGACAGTGTTCTTAGATTTTTAAAAGAAACAAGTTTATTTCAGCTAATATAAACAGTGCATAGTGATAAGCTTTATTGTTCTAACCTTTCTATAAAAAAAAATGTTCATATTAAATTCTTGTACCTATACCTATATAAAATATGTATAATGTTGTAAACTACTGTACCCGTGTCAATGACCATAAGCTGCCGAGACACGTTAATTTTAAATAAAAAAAAAAAGACGTATAATATTGACTACGAATATCTTAACTAAATCCAATGCTCTTCCAGCATTTGTAATTTTATTGAAATTCAATTAAACGTACAGAACGTTTTGATATAAATTTTTAAACTAAATTGTTGTTGTTTTTTTTTTAATTTATATATTATAATAATTCCTACCTTTTAAACGTTAAAAAAAAATTAAAGATACCTACTATTGATCGATTTTTTTGAACCAGAATGATATATTTTATTTTTGTTAACTCTCACCTTAATCATTTTAGTTTAATAATTATTCTGATTGGAAAAGTTCGCAATCATTTTGTTGTAGGTTAGTCCGATACTGATTAAGATAAATATAGAGAAAAATGTTGACCTTTCGATGTCTTTTCTAGGCCTATCATACAGTATAATTATTACTATTATAGTATTGTCCACGCAAAAGTTTAAGTTTGGACGAATCAGAAGATGGGATTGCTGTAAATGGCCCACTTATAAACAATATTAGATATGCAGATGATACAGTGTTGCTGGCAGATAGTGTGCAGGGGCTCCAAAGGATTATAGATAACGTTGTAGAAATATGTAACAAATACGGCCTAAACGTATATTGCAAGAAGACAAAAATAATGATCCTTCGTAAGAACACCGGCATAAACGACCAAATTATAATTAACGATACACCGTTAGCAAGAGTGGAACAAATATGCTATTTGGGCTGCAATATTAAGGATACTTGGGATCACAGCTACGAAATAAAATCTCGTATTGAAAAAGCCAGAAGCTCTTTCAATACCCTTAGGAAGATTCTCTGAAACTTATCTTAAGTATCAATAACTTGTTCTTCTTAATCGTTAACCTGATGCAGGTATCATGATATCATGAAGCTATTAGCTAATTTTTCCAATGTTCTGACAATGTAGCGCCAATGGTAGCAACAATATGGTCCGTGTTTCGTGTGGGAGATCTACCTCTATTTCTTTTGCCTTCTACTTTTCCCTGGATGGTAAGTTTTTCAAGACCATTTCTTCGAAGCACATGTCCAAAATAGCTTATTATATCAATATACGCATAAAAATTCTTAGATGTTACGTCTTTAGTGTCCTTTTCTATAAGGAGTAGTGAAGCTGAAGCCTCACAAAAAATGCCATAAAACGATTGGAGGCATTTGAAATGTGGCGCTACCGACGTATGTTGAGAGCCATATAAACCACACAAGTATGATAACTATTCTCCATGGGATAATAAAAGACACAGAAATTATTAACACCATTAAAAATAGAAAATTGGCTTACTTCGGCCACGCCATGCGTAATGATAAATACCGACTTCTACAGTTGATTATACAGGGCAATATTGAGAGTAAGAGAGGCCCTGGACGTAGACGTACATCCTGGCTGGCCAATCTTAGGAATTGGACTGGTCTAACGTCAATTGCTTTATTTCGAGCCGCTTTGAATAAACTAAGTTGGTTCAGTGTGGTTGCCAACATCTCTGAGAGATAGGCACATTTAGAAGCAGAAACAAATATTGAATAAATAAAAATATATTTTAAGAGACTTGTAACGATTAATTTAGGGAAATTTAAAGTTTAGTATTTTACTACAGCTTACGCCTACAGCCTTGTACCGATTAAATTAAACTAAACACAAACACTAACTAATATAAACCATTAAGCGTCTATATTCGCCATTAAACACAGAGTTAGAAAATTGTTTATTTATTAATACTCGTGGTTTACACTATGACGTCTACTGTACGGCATTTTATCGAAACAAAGTATAATCCAGTGCGCGTGTCAAATTCAGCATGAGGTTTTCTGTTGTTATCAATATAAGTTGTTTCAGTTGATTGTTTTTACTGTGCGATTATACTTTTTTTAATAATGAGGCCGAATTATAATTGCAAATAGTGATACCAAATTTGAAAAATGGATAACGCCAACAATAATGCTGCATCAGAGCCAAGTAAGTCATTTAAAAATAGATTTTATTTCATGATCGATGACTACTCGCTATTTTCTATATCCGTGTTTGAAATGTTTGTTTTTAAGATTTGTCACAAATAGTGACCTGTGTATACTTTAATATTTCCTTGATAATTAATATTCCTAATAGAATGCTGTAACTTTTGACATAGTTTAGATTAAAATTAGTCTTATTAATTAGTTTTAGCGATTGAAGTAAAACTTTAAATTATATAGGTACCTTGACTGAAAAAATCAAAATATAAATATTACCGAGAATCATTCAAAAGATGCCGCAAGTATTTTGGGTCATCACGACGCTTTGAAAAGCTTTAAATCTACGCTAATACCCTAAAAATTAAACTAGCAACATAAATTGAAAATTTGAAAACCTAACGGGAAAATAAACAATGAGACAAATCTTTAAATCAATACTATTTATCTTTATTATCTTCGGCTTCTCTGATTGCTTGGAAATCGTTTTTATATTACAAATTATTAAAAACTGAAAAAAAGTATTTTTTGTGTTATTTGAAAATAATATTTTGCTTATTATTTAATTTTATCTGCCTTACTGGTTATAACAATTATTATTCAAGCTGTGAGTAATGAGGATAGACACTAATTAGTGAATTTGTGAAACCTAGTTTTACTCTAGAAGCCAGAGGGGTTCAGAATACACTTTTATGTCCCCTCGGTGCCTTGACGTTTTTTTATGCTTTTTGGTACATACATGTGATTTTTCGAGGGTTCAAGGCTGAAAGCCAGTCAGACAATTCGATTGTTTAGATGATTTTGTATCCTAGACATATATACATAATTCTTCTATACACCCACAGCTCGAATGATTCCAGTTTTCTCATTGATGTCACATTCAAGGTCCAAGATTACATTCCAAGATCCAATTTTAAATCCCTTGTATATAACACTCTTCTCAATATTGTTCTGAAGCTATTTTCTTGTGGCATTTTAAATTAATAACTATTTAATTGGGAATAAGCCACAATTAAAGATAAAAATACGTTTGTTGACGTTTTAATTTCCACTTCGGAAATCGTTCTCAAAATACAAACAGTAAATTGATAAAACTATCAAAGTATTATTTTTATCTTTAATTGTGGCTTATTCCCAGTTAAATAGTAATTAGCACTCTTTTCATTTTTTTGAAATCTCCTCTAGCCTTTTCTATTCTGATTTTGATCTCCTGAATGTAATCATTTGGGGAGTTAATCGTTGTACCCAGGTATGCTTATTTGTCCACTTGTTCGACGTTGATTCCGTTTATTAGAAGATTCTCGTTATTTCTTTGAGTTTTCGCTATTCTCATAAATCGCAGTGTCGTCCGCATTTCTAATATTGTTAATGGCAACTCGATTTACCTTTATTCCAGCTGTTTTACCCCCAGGATCTCTTCGGAGTAGGCATTAAGAATAATTGGCGACAATATGCATCCCTGTCTCACTCCACGTCTAATTTCAATTTCTTCTGACAGCTGTTCGTTAACACGTACTTTTGCTCACTGTTTATAGTATAAATTTGATATAATCTTGAGGTTGTTGTAGTCAATCTTCTTTGATTTTAGGACATCCATTAATTGTTCATGTTATACTTTATCTTGATTAACGTCCAGGCATCACCTAAACTATTAGAGGTATTTAAGTTTACCAAAATGAAAATTCTTCCTTTTGAAAAAAATGAAGAAAATGGCGTTTGGTGAATTTTGATCTAATTATTATTAGAAGTTATAACAAATTTCGTGAAAAACAATTGCAAAACAGGCATTTAACGGTGCTTTTTCAAGTATAACTCAGCTTTCATTTGTGCGATCAACTTTCAAAATCCGCTCATTTTAAAGGTATTTGCTTCAGCTTTTAAAAAACTTGCTTCTAAAACATTGCGAATTAATATGTTTCTAAGTGAGTTAAACAAAATAAAACTATAAACTTTGAAAATCTGATTAATGGAAGTTATCAAATAAATCACAATAACCATTTTAAGCTGTGGTAAATGTTTCTATGTTAATTTTTGACAAAGATATATGTAACTTTTAATAACGCGCTCTGAAGCGCATGGTAAAATCCATGTAGATTTACATACATAAAAAATTATACTAAGGTACAATTGGTCAAAAAAAAATGGATAACCCCTACATCCAAAGTAAAAGTTTTTCTCCAACACTAAATTGTTCTATCTATCTATCTATCTAATTAGCCTTCTTCGGTCCATCTTTGGACATAGGCCTCCCCAATCCTTTTCCATTCTTCTCTGTCTGTCGCAACAGTCATCCATCTAGAGCCCACGTGCTTCTTGATATCATCTGCCCATCTCATTTGGGGCCTTCCTCTGCTTCGTTTATATTCCCACGGTCTCCAACTTATAAGAATTTTGTTCCATCTGTCTTCTTTTTGTCTTATATTGTGTCCGGCAAATCTCCATCTCAATTTTGCAACTTCTTGTCCAACATCCCTCACTTTTGTTTTCTCTCTTATCCACTCGTTTCTCTTCTTATCCATTAGTCTTATGTGCAACATTTGTCTTTCCATTGCTCTTTGGGTTTTTATGATTTTGTCCATGTTTGCTTTTGTAAATATCCACGTTTGGGAGCCATACGTAAGAACAGAAAAATCTCACAGGAACAGGCAAAATTGTTCTATATGGTCCATATATTGTTATGTAAACAGTTACAGCATTTAAAGCATCCGGTTTGGGACATTTTGGGAGGGTGAGAGGGAGAAGTCGGTAAATTCGTAGTTTTCTTTTCGTTTTCGTCAATATTTCTAAAGACTATGCGGTTTAGCGTGAACAATGTTTTATATAAAAATGTTCTACATTTAATTTAAAACAAAAAAGGCTTATGCATATTCCTTCTAAAACAAACCGTTTTATAGTTATGTAGGATGTACTTGTAGATGATACTACAGAAGATTACGAGAAATTAATAAGAGATTAGTTTTGAAAATTATAAAAGTAAACTCGAAATAAAAATGTTAAAATTTACTGTTAAAACAGTAAATAAGTACGATGTATTAAAATATTAAAACACCGGAATTCTCTTCCTTATTAACAGGGGTTATAGGAGATGAAAACATGAACTATAATAAAGCGTTTGGAGTTGGAACCCTGGCTTTGAAAGACATTGAAAAGAAAACATTCAAAGAGATCCACTTGAAAAGAAAGTTAGCTAGCCTTTAAAACCAGGTCGATTACAACTATTACTATCACGGCATGTATAAACCCAAAAACTCTCTTACATCGCACAGTAAGGAGTGATGAGAGAGTTGAAGAAATATTTCAATATCAACTATATGTGTATCCTTGATCTTTGTTCGACGAATCTCACTTGATGAGAAAAGAAATCAAATCTTCAATAGTTACTGTTTTGGTTATAGACACACAAGAATCATCATGTACTCTAAATTCAGGAAAATGTAAAACATCATTGATGGAGGTCACCTCCTTTATCGTGTTGTCTGGTGACGCCCAACTACCTTTAAACAGATTTGCGAGCAATACAGAGACTACCTAATTACTCATTACGGAACACCGACTGATGTATTTGATGGATACTTGTAAGGAAATACAAAAGATATAGAACATGTACGCAGACACCTTCTAGCATTGAATTAAAAGTTGAAGAATTAATCCATGTACATATAAACCTAAGTGAATTTTTAACTGACGCTAATAACAAAATGAGCCCTATTTCACTTCTTATAATGCACTTGCAAAAATGTGGTTACACAGTTCTTTAAGCATGGGGTTACGCTGACTTATTAATAGTTTTAACCGCTGATGGTGAAGATAAGAAAGACGTTGAATCTTAATATGTTCTTGCGATGTTTCGTGCCAGGAACATGAAAGATCTAGGTTGTTTACGCTATCAGGTTATTGCAAAGTAGCCAAAAGAATTAGATAATATAATATAGACGTGGCTTGGTGCTAAAAGAGTTAATGTCAAAAACTTTACATTTGAGAAAACTATAGTTAAAGTATAAATGCTAAAAATACTTTTATTTGAACCGAATAAGACTGTGTTTTAATTTTTTTTTATAATTAAAATCTGGTTTTTTTCCATGGTTTGCTAAATGGTAAGGTTAAACGTCCACAGTGTACGTTTATAAAAACTCAATCCACTTCTGAGATAGGAAGTAGGCAAGCATTTTTATAAGTGGAAGGAAATGTTAACCTGGGTTCTGACATTCTTATTTATCTCTTCGTTTCGACTGGTAGCAGACTCGGCTAAATGTAAATGTACCTTTTTTCTCGCACTTTGTGATTAAATATTTCTGTCAGCGCCGCACTTTGTGATTAAATATTTCTGTCTTTGCAATAATTATTTACATACAGGTAGGTCCATTTAAGCTATTGATTTATGTACTCGAAAGTTTATCAATTTCTGGAATTTTAGGATAATTTCCATGTTTTTCTCGTCTATTCTTCGGACCTATGTGGTCTCTCCTAGATATGTTATTCTCAACAATAATTACCCTCGCTTTAAACTTATTTAAAAGCATGATTTGATATACTTTCACTTTTTGACCACAATGTTTTGATAAAAAACTTTCTAGTAAAATTTCGTCTGCTTTAGGTGCTTTCATATGTGTCAATCGTTAAAACTTCTTTCCCTCTTCTTCTATAGAATTTGATATCAACGTATTGTTTCCAGAGAAAGAACACTGATAAAATTTTGTAAAAAAACTGTGTCTCGTCTCTTTTGTAAATTTTTCAAAGAACTGGTTCCGACACGTGTTGAGTGCATTCACTTGCTTAGCTGGTATTGTTTTACTTACCTAAACCGATTTATACTCTTTATTTAATACATTTAATTGATTTTTAGAAGGATCAATTACTTGTGATGTACTATCTACTATAGTAATATTGTCTATACCTCCTAACTGATCGACTTTGTATTCGTCATCTGTCGGTACATGTTCATTATCACTATCTTCAAACGGTTCTGGATCGATAGAATCTGTATTTTCTTACTGGTGCTTGTTAATT